ACAAATGACTCCTAGAATCTCAACTATTGCCCCTTGACCTAGCTGGAGACAGTGTCTGTTTGCAGTTCGAGCAGGGTTCAGATACCCCTGGGAATGACGCAACATTCTAGACAGTACACAGCTCTCTTTAGGTTTCCCTGGGATTCATCTGAGGCAGATTTCTGATGAAGGTCTCTTCCACAAAGGTAATGTACTAAGGTTAAATGATACACCAAGAGCACACAAAGCTCTAAACATGATTTCATGAGAGCTAAATATATATATACACATTCTAATAAGAGAAGATTAGCATACTGTTTTTTCCCCCCTTTAAAAAAATGTTTTCCAAGGCTGGGTACAGTGGCTCACGTTTATAATCCCAGCACACGGGAGGCTGAGGCAGGTGGACTGCCCTAAGCTCACAGGTCTGAGAGCAGCCTGAGCAAGAGCAAGACTCCATCTCAAAAAAATGACTGGGCATTGTGGCAGGCACCTGTAGTCCCAACTACTCAGGAGGCTGAGGAAAGAGGATTGCTTAAGCCCAAGAGTTTGAGGATGCTATGAGCTATGATGCCACGGCACTCTACCAAGGGTAACATAGTGAGAGTCTGTCTCAAAAAAAAAAAAAAAAAAAGTCTTCCATATAATGTCTTAAGAAAATTTTTCTTAATTGTGTAATAGTCTTCAAAAAGGAAATAAATATTTTTCTAGAAAAGGGGGCAAAAGAAAAAGTAACAAAAACTGGTCTACTTTCAATTAGATAGAAAACAATATAAAACACACAAATTACCGACTCTAGAATTTTGTCTATTTTCTTCTTCTCCGGATCTGGGTTATTTTTGAATATTTAATACCTAACATATGAATGTAACACCCAAGTTGTCTAAAATCAGTGTTTTCCCAAGAGGGGTGAGACCCTTTTATAGAATTGTGTCCAAGACCTCTAGACAAGGCCAGCATAGTTCCTGACTTTTTGGAACATCTAAAGGCACGGTGACAGAATTAAGAGATGTTTTCCCACTGCAGAAAGCTAAATGACCCCCACCTGGATCACACCTACAATATGAGGCTCATCCAGGCTCTCCAACGAGTGGAAGAGCTCAGCTAACTGCGAGCGTGTAATCAGGACCTATCTGGGCAAACTGAAAGTGGGAGTCTTAATAGAGCCGTTTGCTGGAAGTCTGTCCAGCTGTGTAATCCAGAAACCCTGAGCAGCAAATAATTCAGACATTATTAGGTAATGCAAACCAAAAAGCCTCAAGCTGTCGCGCTGGGTAGAGTGCTATGAAATCACAGCTCACAGCAACCTCCAACTCCTGGGCTCAAGCGATTCTCCTGCCTCTGCCTCCCAAGTAGCTGGGACCACAGGTGCCCGCCACAACACCTGGCTGTTTTTGGTTGCAGCCATCACTGTTTGGCGGGCTCGGGCTGGATACAAACCAGCCAGCTCCAGTGTACGTGGCTGGTACCTCAGCCGCTTGGGGCCACAGGTGCCGAGCTGCAAACAAAAAATTTATTTGTAACCATCTGCTGGACTCAGTTGTGCCATAAATATTTGCTGGATGAAGAGAATTTTGTTTCTTCTGAACTCATAGTTTCAGACCTGCACTGTATAGTCCCGTGTACAGACAGACAGCTATGTACATATATGCGGTTTAACATATAAACCATTGCCATTTCCAGGTCTTTCCTTACACTGGTGGGGAATTGGAGGCCTTAAGGCCACATGTGCCCCCCAGTGTAGCCTCTCAACTAAATCCAAACTTCACAGAACAAATCCCTTTATCAAAATCTGGATTCAGTCAAAGGGGCAAACTCAAGGAGGCAGAAGGCCATGTGACCCAAGTCCTTGACAAGTTTCTCAACCCCTAAACACATTCCTAGCCCCACTCTCAAAGCCTCTCTCCCCAAATTCCTGAGCTCATCTGTAGGTAAGAACTAAAAGGCGCAAGCCTCCTGTGGAGATGAAGATGTAGAGAATTCACTCCCCTAAACTGCCTCACTCACACACCCCCAGCCCTGTGCTGCCTAGCCACAATGTAGTGTCTGATCAGGCCTTACAAGAAGACTTTAGTCCACACTGTCACCCGGCCAGTGACCTCACTAAAGCACACCTGCAAGCTTGCTAGACTCCTTGCTCTCCAACATAGCTGCCTCTGCAGGGACCACTCACACCTCAGTGGCAAGAGCACAGAGACCTACCATGGCACTCCTAAAACTTAGAGGAGTTAGGCAGGAAAGGAAAAGGCATAATTTTCAATCTCATCAAGGTTGTTGGCTGGGGAGAGTGGAAACAAAAAAATGACTTTGAAAACAGAACTCAGAAAACGCTCAACTCCAAAATTTTGGTGAAACTCCACCCTTAGGCCACAAGCTGTGGCTCACACCTGTAATCCTAGCACCCGAGGCAGGTGGACTACTTGAAATGAAGAGTTCAAGACCAGCCCGAGCAAGAAGAGTGAGACTCCCATTTCTTAAAAAAAAAAAAAAAAAAAAGCTGGGCCTTGTGGTGGGCACCTACTTGGGAAGCTGGAGGCAGGAGGATCACTTGAGCCCAAGAGTTATGAGCTGTGACTCCACGGCACTATACCCAGGGTGACAAAATAACACTCCATCTCAAACAACAACAACTCCACCCTTATGCAGGAAGAAGGAAATTTTTGCTTTAGCCCCTTCCTCCTTGTTCCAGAACTCTCATTAGCTGAGTTCTATAGTTAATTTTGAGACAGTTAAGATTATATAACATTACTTCTATAGGGAAGTGAAATCCACTCCATTAAAAAATTACTTTTGTGAACACAGCCCATGCTGGATTGGAGGAACCTGACCAGTTTGGACCCATTCACCTAGTGTTGCTTCAGGGTTCCAGGCAGCACCAATAACGATGATGTGCTACTTACTGCTATGGTTCCACATCTCCCTGCCTCCCCCGAGCCCTACCCCAAAGCTCAGAGTTTCCTAACTTAGTATGAAACACTCAGCACACACCCACAGGGTGATCTGCTACCTGTTCAAGGTTATTAAATCTCCCTGAGCTTTTTGGAGTCAACCAGGTACCCCAAGCCCTTTAAATCAATGAAGAGCTCAGAGAGAAAAGGATTGAGGAGCACAGCCCTGAAGACTTCCTGGAGTACCCTGCAGCTGGAGAGGATGTTAAGACCCAAGGTCAAGTCTCACTTCCGCTGAGAACAACCAGACCTGAGTAACCTCTGTGTGCAAGGTTCTGCCAAAAATAGCTAGGTGACCTTTGGGGTCCTTTCCAGCAATAAAGTGCAGAAAGATCCCCGATCCCATAAGCATTTCTTAAAGCTACGAGTTTAGCTAAGAACACCGGTAGTGCACTCTGTCCTAACTTAAATAATTTGGTCTTTTCCTCAGCACATGAACTATCTTCACTTGCAAACATGATTTTTTAAAAAAATCCTTATTAATAACAAAGCAAAGAATTCTCCTTATGATTTTTCAAATCACGAGATGTGTTATGTTTACATTCCAAACACATAAAGACTCTTTCAAAACTGCAATTGTCACTTTTCAACAAGACCAGTGCCCAAAAAGATGTGACTTGTAAGTAGTGGCTGGGTCACAGAAAGCCTGGCCCTAAGAACCATGATTCTCCTCCTTGCCACACATACTCATGTTATAAAGTCAAACTCTTACATAATTATTACGTTTATTAAGCAGATTATCAAATCCAACATCAATATTAATCATTGAGAAAATTCACATTTCTCATGGGGCAGGGAGGTGACTCATGGGACTTCAATGTTCTAACAACATAAAAGAGAACTGTTAATAAAACGCAGTCTAAGCAAACACCCCTTGACCTCTCTGGAAAACACCAGCAGCAAGAAGTCTTAAGAAATTCTTCCTGTGACGACAGTTTATGGGTGTCAGTGCTTACTTACCAAAATGCACTGTTAAAACATTTCATAAAGGGTCAACTACGTTCACTCTTCTCCCTTCTGACCTTTGCAAGAACACTTATGTATATACACTCTATAATATTAAAATATAGGTTTCAAAAGCAAATAGCCTCCCATGACAGCATCTGACTTCCATTCATAAACATCTTTCCTTTAGCTCACTGAGAACTCTGAACAAGCATATTTCTACCAACAAAGAGGTCCAAAGCAAAAAGCACACAGGATGTAATAACATTTTTAAAAGTAACAATAAAATCTGTTTGTAACTTTAGAACTAAAATCAGATTATAAACCAGATTTTGGAACAAATTGTCCTGCTTTTATAAAACTATCCATCCTTGGCTTAAAAAAAAAAATCTTTTAAAGTACACGTTTACTTCACTTTTTTAAAGGAAAAACGTTCCATAGAGTTAAATTACATTGTCCTTAAAACTCCTGATTTTGTTTCTTTAATGCAGAATTCTGGAATTTACACTGAGTTTACATAATTTGTACTATTTCTTATCTTGTAACAAGAGAGAAAACTCTAAATTTAAAAAAAATCAGAAATGTATATTTTCTCCACATATTTCTAGCTTTATATATGTGTGTGTGTATATATATACATATATATTTGGTTCATAATCACAAGGAAAGTGGCTACAGTCACTCTATCAGATATCAGAACAAAATGCCAGTTTCAAAATACTAGTTTAGCTTTCAAAAAATTATGGCTGGGACCAAAATAAAAACCATAAAGATTTTAAATGCTTTGTATACCTCAACTACTAATCTTAGATGCAAAGAGACTGTGAAACCAAATGTAAACCCAAGTTTTTAAAAATTCTCTTTTAAAAGCAGCAATTTTCTTTCTTTCTTTTTTTCCTCCACAGAAAGCTATTTCTTAAATAACAACACATAGAAAAAGGTAGAAAAATGGTGTAGGGTGGCCAAAGATCTTTGTTCTGCACAACAATGCACTTAAAAGTCAACCAAATGCACATTGCATCTTCCAAGTTAAAGGCATTAGCCACTTTCTTTTGGTGGGTGTTCTTCTCTCAGCAGCATCCAGACTTAGCAGGCCAGGGGATAAGGACAATGACAGATGTAACTCACCAGGATACCAGGAGAGGCCTTGTCATGGTAAACATCTTGAGTTTTACTTAATGAGCCTTCAGGAACCTTCTCCTCATCTTCACTACCATCTTCCAGGTAAAACATCTTAACACTGAACTAGCTTATCAAGCATGCCTTTCCCGAAGATGAAGGTACCATCTAAACAGAAAGCTGCTCTCCTGACTGTGTGTAGACTGTTTGGAGACACAGTGATATGGTTAAAACTGAAAGGAAATAGTTCTTTGAAAAAAAAAAAAAAAAAGAGCAATGCATACACGACTTTACCAATGAGATTTGCTCAAAAGGCCTCAACCCCCACTCTCCAAAGGAGATAAGCAGGGCATGGGACAGGCTGTGCCATGTGTTTACACTGATAGGTACCAAGACCTGCCCTATCACATGATGCCACTGCAGCTACCATCACAGGGGACAGGGATTGAGTTAATGATTCCTAACTCAATCACATCCACCTTTTTACAAATAAAAACAGCTATGTCAACTAACCATGAGAAGGGAAATAGTTTACTTATGTTTTCTGAGCATTTTTGAGCTTCCCAAAGTCAGCCAGTTCATATATGCTTTATAGAGCCCAACTACTAACCAATCATTTTTACTTTGTCATACTGGCATGACCCAAAATATTTTCACGATTCTGGGAGATAACTCCACTCAGCACTGTGAATAACAAGCAATTTGATTTCAAGAGTATGATAATACAACACTGTTCAAACTTTCCTAGGATTTCCTTGCCTACACTAAGTCAATATACAGTAACTTCAATTTTGCTAAAAACATAAAATATTTAATACACATCTATAAAACAGATTTTTTAATTAAAATATACTATCTTTTTCAAAGTATTGTGGAGGACTGTGCTGTCCATTACCAAAGTAATAGGTGGCTATGGAGCATTTGCAATCAGGCTACTATCAATCTCAATGTGCTCTAAGTTATAAAATACACACTGGATTTTGAAGACTAAGAATGAAAAAACAATGAAATAATCTCATAATGTTTTATACCTATTACATGTTGAAGTGATATTTGATATGCAAGTTAAATAAGTTACAATTATTGTTACCTGGTCTTTTTTTTAAACTTTAAGAAAATTCTGATTATTACAAAATTCAAAACTACACATGTGGCTCCTACTTCTCCAGGGCCCTGAGACAACCTTGAGACTCAGGGAGCACGGGGGAGGACATGCAGGCAGTGTTCTACCTAAGGGAGAGCCGAAGACCACACCGTCAATCACGTATCCCTAGAAGTATTCAGTTAACTCATCAACAGTGCACTAGCTGAGCCATACACAGTCAACGGTCTTCACATTATTAAACATTTTCTCTACATCTAAATTTCAAAATGGCAAAATTTCACATTTGACCAAATAATGGGGGTTTGGCATGTTTATTACAACAATACACCACTAAGGTTTATACAGTAAAAAATGGTTAAGTGCCAGAATTAAAAACAAATTTCACCAAAATTAGAAATGAGAAAACTTATCTTGCATTCAATATGTTTCCCTGCTTGCCGTCCAACCTATCAGATAGAAATATAAGCCTAAAATGCACCAAAGCACCCACATTTCCTCGTGTAATCTCATTCATCACCTACACAAATCCCTTCTTTCAAAAAAGATGTGACTTGTTTACATGGTCTAAATAATGCAACGCACAAAAATTTATATCTCTTTTCCGTGACCTGCTGCAGTTCCAGATTCCTGACATCAGATGGTAGGAATAAAAACCTAATATTGAGGTGCTATCAGTAGGGGGAAAAAAATGGAAGGAGACAACCAGGCTCAGGAGAAAAGAAAAGGCCTGTAAGGAAGAATGAGAAAAGGAGAAACCTAAGCAGATTAAGGGAAAAAAGGAAGAGTTTAAGGAGGTGGAGGAAAAAAAACGTGGAAGAGATGAGAAAACATGCAGGTGGACAGCAGAAGGGGAAAACTATACATAGGAGGGTAGATGAAAAGGAGGAAGAAAAAAGAAGGAAGATCTTATCCACTTTAGATGTAAAGAAACAGAAGCCCAAAAAAGGTCAGGCAATTAAACCCAAGGTTACCCACTTGGTTGGTCAATGTGCCAGAACAAGCCACCTCCTAATTTCTAGTTCAGCGCTTTTTTCACTAAAGAGAGAACAAGAGAGAGAATGTACTAGATGAAGGGAGAAAGGTTGACAAGAATAAAAGGCCTAACAAGTGAAGCGGAGTTTAGACCCAGGAGGGCAGAGGGCACTGGATACAACTCTGCAGCAACGTTCATTCGCCTCAAATGTCTCTTACACAACAAGCAGCTCCCAGGCCAGCCATGTGGGTTTCCTGCTAGCTATGGTTTTGTTTCACGGTTTTGATCGATGAGTCACAGAATGTTCTGACTGCAAGGGAGCACGCACCATGAACCCGTCAGAAGTGAGCTCATCTTCTAAACACACTTGTTGACACCAGGCACACACCTCCAGCTTCCTTGTATGTCAACATGGGGATCATCCTAACCCCCAGGACTGGCACTCAATGACTGGAGTCCAGCTCACCACCTGCAGGGCAGCATTTTCAGTCTTAGTCAATAAATGTTAAAATCACAACTAACAGTGGTTAATCATCCCTATAATTTTCAAAGGAAAATGCTTCAGTAATGTCATACTTTTTCTCTATAGGCTAACAGCTGAATGCTAAGAAAAACTACTTTTGCATAGCATCTTCAATGATCTTTAAAAATCCCTCAGACTAGGTATAAAGGATTGGGTGGCACCTGTGGCTCAAAGGAGTAGGGCACTGGCCCCATATGCTGGGAGGTGGTGGGTTCAAACCCAGCCCTGGCCAAAAACTGCAAAAAAAGAAAAAAAAAGAAAGTATAAGGATTTTTTTTAAAACTTCCTAACCTGAGGCTCGGCGCCCATAGCACAGTCATTACGGAGCCAGACACAGACACCAAGGCTGGCGAGTTTAAACCTAGTTTGGGCCAGCTAAACAACAATGACAACTGCAACAAAAAGTAGCCGGGTGTTACAGTGGGCACGTGTAGTTCCCAGCTACTTGTGAGAATCAAGAGAATCACTTAAGCCCAAGAGTTTGAAGTTGCTGTGACCAAGGATGCCACAGCACTCCACCCAGTTTGGGCCAGCTAAACAACAATGACAACTGCAACAAAAAGTAGCCGGGTGTTACAGTGGGCACGTGTAGTTCCCAGCTACTTGTGAGAATCAAGAGAATCACTTAAGCCCAAGAGTTTGAAGTTGCTGTGACCAAGGATGCCACAGCACTCCACCCAGGCTGACATACTGAGACTCTGTCTCAAGAAAACAAACAAACAAAAAAAAAAAAAACCAAAAAACTTCCTAACCTGAAATTTTTGCTTATGTGAAGTTGTGCTAAATTGGTTCAACAGAAATACATGTATGTCACCATAGCTCTTTTTATTTTACTACCAAACATGAAAATCATTGTACTCCCCCCGGTGGCCATAATGTGGAAATGCAAAGCCTTCCTCCTGAATTACCAAGAAGATGGGAGAAAAATAAACTTTGATCAGTAGAAAAAAACCCAAAAAACCCAGATAAAAATATTTTTAAAGCCTCAATTACAAAGAATTTCATAACATCCACCCTAACTATTGTATAGTAAAGGACTTAACTCAAGGGCATTTCTGCATGTTAAAGGCCATATTCATGACAAAAGGACCTACATGTGAAAGGACCAAAGCCTCCTCCCCCCAACAAATTTGGTTAAATTTAGAGCCAAACGGTTCTCTTATCCTCTAAAGCACAGGAAGTTTCTTTCCCTGCGTGGAATTACTTAAAATATGCTGTTTAAAACTGTGAAAACAACCCCAAAGGGAATGATTTGTTTTATTCAAAACTCTGCTTACTAGCACTCTCAGGTTTTTAAAAACTTGATTAACTATTTATTGGATAATGGTTATACAGTTCATTCAAGTTCCAGAGTCTCAAACACAATCCCAAACTCTAAATAGGATAGCTGGTGGTTATTCTACTGAAATTCAAATGAATAATTAAATCCAAACAGATCTTTCCAGGAACAAAGGAGAAAAAACAAGGAGGGTCTCCTGATGTCAGAGTCCCAGCTTAAAGAGACTCTGCAAAGAAAAACTTCTTTTGAAGACTTATTTATCTTTAAAAAGCATGCATTTTATATTCTGCTCTGATTTAAGTCTGTTACTATAAAAAAAAAAAGAAAACTGGCCAAAGTTTTCCTCTCTCAAGTTCAAGGGTTAATGTATCACTCTTACTGTAAGGCTTAGAACATCATAGCTTAAGGAGTTTGGAACTAAACAACCACAGAGTTCTAACCCTTCTGACACTGATATTCTAGGTCAGCAGTTCTCAACCTGCGGGTCTTGACCCATAGGAACTGTATTGAAGGGCTGCGTGGCATTAGGAAGGTTGAGAACCACTGTTACAGGTCAAACTTTCACCCAATATTTGACAATACTACACGTCACCTGGCTGTAGCATTCAAATGTACATACAAGAGTCACTACAGAAGTTTTGCGATGGACTGTGTTATAGCCCATTATTTCACTTCCAAGAAACATGGTTGACAGTGACCAAACAATGTCCTTTCTGATTCGCCCCTGAAAGTTTCGACTTATTTGGCTTACAGGTGTTGCTGAGATGGCTTCATTTTGTTTCCATCTGTGTGGATTTTATGTTTCTTGATTTTTTGTGTCAAAACATTTGCAATGACCCATGTATCTAGGATTAAGAGAGTAGAGCTAAACAGCCCAACGAAGGATCAGAATTATGCCCTGGCTTGTGTCATAACATTTGGACAAAGCTGTCAGCAAAGTAATGCCAAAAGAAGTAGAAAACACCTGGCTCCTGAGATCTCGGCTGCTCTCAGGATGGGGGAAGAGGGAAAGAAGGGGAGCTGTTAATTACATAATCATTTCTGTTCAGATGTTTGTCTTTGTCTTCTCTCATTTTTATCTCTGATAACAGTTTGCACAGTGATGTAAAGGGATGACACCCTAAGTATAAACTCATTTTCTGTACTAGACCTATGTCAACCCCATTTTATTCAAACTCAGATCCTATTTTTTTTTTTTTTTTTTTGAGACAGTGTTTCACTATGTCGCCCTGAGTAAAGGAGGGTGGCGTCACAGATCACAGCAACCTCAAACCTCTGGGCTTAAGCGATTCCCTTGCCTCAGCCTCCCAAGTAGCTGGGACTACAGGCTCCTGCCACAACGCCCAGCTATTTTTTTGCTGTTGTTGCGTTG